GTCATGCAGCACCATGACTTCGGATCATCGGCCACACGCGCGTTCCTTTGCGCGATTGAATTCGTCGCACCTCAAGTATCAACTACCGCCGGCCCAAGTCCGATGACAGACATGTGGCTCGGGGTATCGATAGCCTAAAGAATCCTAAGAAGTTCTTGAAAAGCAGGTCAAAGCCCCAAATGCATTGACCCTGCCACGTGTCAACCCTTGCACACGTGCTGACGCTAACATGTCTAATTCCGATTCTATTACGCCCTCACATTTTCTCAAACCTAGGCTGGTGAGCCTCGCTCCTACCTCTTTTAAATTCCTAATCGCGGATGTTAGATCGATTTCGGTTAGATTCGGATAGTGCTTAATGGCGACTGCGATTATTTGTGGTTTTAAATTTTCTGCTATGATTTCCACTGTTATTTTAAATGATTTTAGGTATGTTGCTGCTCTTTTAATTAGCCAGTAAAATGTTCACCCTTTTCCCTGCCCATCTGTTCGGCCAACGCCAATCGTTGAAATCCAGGTGCTGGATATTGGTATAGGAAGCGAGGCTTCCAAGTCGCCACGTACTTGACACCAACTCAATCCTGGACCGATTCATGAAGAGCAGACACTGGGATATTTTCGCAACTATTTCTATATTCAAATTACTAAGTGGAGAAAATGTTTCGTACAAGAATATGGTTCAAATTACAAATTGGAGAAAGTATATAATTCAAAGACTATCACAATTATTAGTTCACTATTATTCTCGATGGAGGTAATGGATGTGTAATAACGGTTGTGGACTCATCTAAGGAAACCGCTGTTGATACGGTTGCTGTAGGAGCTGGCAGTATACTTCTTCTGCAGAGGCGTGTTACCCAAAACAAGGTGTTCGTTGATTTCCAAAGGTAGAAGAGTATTATTCCCAATATTATTGTTACTTGAGGTGCTATGCTTCCAAAAGTTAAGCCAAAATGAAATCTCTTCTCACGGTGATGTACTTCCAATCTCCCCAATTCGTTCTCCATTTCATGTAGGGAGCCTGTTGTGTTTTCTGCTTCTTGTACAGAGTAACTTGCTTGATGACTGCTTAATGATTCTACTAAATGAATTTGTCCAACGTTGGAGAAGACTTTGCTAATGTTTAAAAGTAAATTAGGATTGTAGAGAAATTGTTCTGTATTTATAAAAGTTTGTGTTCCAATGAAAGTGGTAGATCTTGTTTGTGCTGCGAAATCTGGACGTATTTCCATTATTCCTGTTCCCTGTATTGTTCTTACTATATTTGCTTGGTTTTTGCATAGAATTAGTAAAGATTCAGGTTCCTTTGTTGAGTATAACCATCCCCTGTATGTTTCAGACGATGCCACTGAGATTCACGAAATGTAGTAAGGCTGATATTACAGAATTGCAGACTTCTCTTATGTGGTCTCAGAAGTAATGATATCTCACACGATTCTGTGACTGATACCTCATACAAAGGTACCTCCAGGTCACACAAATGCATGTACCAAGTTTGTTCACATGAATTTAAAAACGTCTCTGTTGCGCCAAAATAAGGGCTATGGTCAATACTTAAGCCCAAATACGGATATTGAGGTGATATGGACGCTCAGAGATTAGTGCTGTGAGTGAGATTTTGCAGAGTCGGCAGACTGTGAAGTTGGTATAGCTGATATTCTATGCGATTTACTAGTGGTATGTATATAGTTACTAGTATCTTCCCTGAGCGATGTTCCAGGGTTACCTATGATGGCTCTCAATTTGCAACCATTTAGTAATGACGGGTGCAATTTCCCATCCTGAGCTGTGATTAACGTGGACATAAAATTTTGAACGGCCGAAATGTAATGATTCAATGAATTTTCAATAGAACTTGCGTATTGACTTACAAGGAGAAGGCAAGCACTTCGGGTCTCAGATTTAGTTGAAACTTCGTACACTTATAGATCTTGTTCCCTTGTTTACGAATATATACCATTATAGGCGTAGATACTCAATAGTTTTTTAGATATTTGTATTTGAAGTTTCATTATAATGAGAAATATAGATTTATTGAAAAGTTCCGACAAGAAGCGAACTGGCGAAGTGGCAACGTACCTGATACATACTCAGAAAGCACGGGTTCGAATCCCTTTGTGGTATGTAATTTTTTTTCGATTTATTCACTACAATTAATTGGATTTCAAATATATATGCAATGATACTGTTCGGGATTGGTGTCGATCCCGGAAGGACTGCGCTGGAAAATAAACTGACACTTGCTGGCTCGGGTTTACAGTTTATTGAAGTCACACGGTAAAATTGCATTGACTACATTAAAACTAACGGTAGCGGTCACGGCGCGGTTCTTAAAACTAACTTAGATCGAGCGGTCACGGTACGGCGCGGTTCTTAAAACTAAATTAGATCGAGCGGTCACGGTACGGCGCGGCCCGGTCGCGGCGCGATCGCGAGACGGGATGTTGGCCGTCCTATCGTATGGTTTCGGTGCGGCGGAGGTAGTCGGATGGTCGGGAAGGGCGATTAGATGCCTTCATGGGTGGACGGCCGTAGGCACAACCCGTCCTCACCCAGGCAGTAAGAAGACCGTGCTCCGGCGGACGTCGTAGAGACGTACGCCCAGTCCGGCGGTCGGGAAGCCGCCGAGAGAGGGAACTCTCTCGGCCGTGGCCAAGGATACAGCGGACAGTATCGGAGGACGGCCGTAGAGACAACCCGTCCTGCCGAACGCTGCTGGAGGAAATAGCAGGAGCCCAAAAATCGTAGTTGATCGCCTCTTTATCGCTCATCAAAGTGATTCGCTTCCGAGTGTCGATCTGCCTTCTATCGCTTCGCGGCCCAGTATATGAATGCTCGCGAGGCCGGCTGCCTGGCGAGTTCGCGGTGCGCGCGGTCGCCACCTGTCGGCGGCGCTGGTACTTGCGCGCGTTGGCAGGGCCCGCGGTTTCGCGGCCTCGTATACCTTACAAAATGACGTGTCTGAACTGTCGAGTTGTTGCGCTGATTTGATTCGTCGTTTCATACATGTACAAAATACAGAATAAATTGATCACCTTGGATTCATTGCGATTGAATGATTCTCTTTTTGCGCGAGTGCTAGCAGCGAGCAAATCGGCGTCGTTAATTATATGAATTCGGTCCGCTTCTTTCGATGATGCCCGAGCACATGTGTGCGATCGCCACGTGGTCGGCGGTTAGCGTGTAGAATGAATTTGTTGTAGTTGAGCCGTACCTTTTGCAATCCTGCGACTCTGCACGATAGTTGCGGATTCCTGAGGTCGTGTTGAGCGGTCTTGATCGATTTTCACTGGTGAACTGTACACGGAAAAATCAACGGTTGAGCACGTGGTTCTTGCTGTGAATCGATGATCAATAATGGCGTAGTTGCGCGCGAGCCGGCGAGAAGACCCCTGTTCACGCGTTGACCTAGATGGGCGATTCCCGATCGATAAATCGATCGACCGTGAGCGCTATCAAGGCTGAGCGGATTCTCAAACATTTCCGCCCGCCATCAGCAACACGTTGATGATGATTCTGCAGGGGTGAGCTCAGCTTGATGATGAACAGGCAGGATGACAAGCTTGGTGATCGGTCGGACGAGAGTCGTGGTTGCTGTCTTCACAGTTGCAACCCTAGTGAGGCCATCCTTGCCGGGGTGAACTTCGGTCACTCTTGCGAGTGACCACTTGCTTGGTGGAAGATGCTCGTTCATGAACAGCACCAAGGAGCCTTGATGTCGTGAGACGGATGATGCCACTTTGAAATTGACTGGAACCTCTGCAGGTAGTGTCGGGACCACTGAGACCAAAAGTGTTGAATCTTTTGCTGGATCAGCTGCCATTTCGACAGTCGACCTGGTGAGACGTCGAGCAGTGATGGTTCTGGTATCGTGTTGAGCGCTGATACGATTAGGAAGTGTCCTGGAGTGAGTGCAGAGATGTCGTCGGGATCGTCACTGAGCGGCTCCAATGGTCTTGAGTTGAGCACTGCTTCGATCTGTGTGAGGAGGGTGGCAAACTCTTCGAATGTTAGTAAGAGCTCGCCAACTGTTCTCCTCAGATGGTACTTGATTGATTTTACCACCGCTTCCCATTTTCCTCTCATGTGAGGAGCAGCTGGTGGGTTGAACATCCATTGAGTGTTGTCTGCTGACAGAATCGATGCGATTTGTTGGTGCTCCTTTGAACTTGATGTGAACAGGCGTTTGAACTCTGCCTGAGCTCCAATGAAGTTCGTACCACAGTCAGAATACAATTTGTGAGCGATCCCTCGTCTCGATGAAAATCTTCTGTAGGCTGCCAGAAATCCCTCTGTTGAGTAGTCGCTGACAACCTCAAGGTGAACTGCCGATGAGGAGAAACATACGAACACGCAGATCCATCCTTTGATGGTTTTCGAGCCTCTTCCCTTTGAATTTTTCATCGTGATCGGTCCAGCATAATCGACACCGGTGTGAGCGAATGGTCGTGATGGTGTGACTCGAGATAGAGATAGTTGACCCATTATCTGACGAGCACGAATCCCCCTCTGACGAGCACAAACGACACATCTCAAGATGTGAGATTTTACAGGAGCTCTTCCACCGATGATCCAGTACCGTTGTCGAACATATACGAGCGTGAGCTGCGTTCCTCCGTGGAATGTTCGCTTGTGAGCGTCTTCAATGATGATCTTCGAAAGGTGAGCGTCCCGTGGGAGGATCGCTGGATGTTTTTCGTCCCTGCTGAGCGCTGTGTTGGTGAGTCTTCCTCCTACTCGTACTGTTCCCTGCGAATCGATGAAGGTTGGTGAGACGACTGAAGGGGTGAGTTGCAGGCAGGGTTGAGCCTGAGTTGAGCATCTTGATTTCGTTGGCGAAATACAGGTGCTGAGTTGCGGGAATCCAAAAGAGCTGCGCCTTCGCCATGTCGCAGGATGGAACAATTATCACGGGTGGAGCTTCGAGCTTTCTCTTAAGCCGTGAGGCAAACCTGAAACAAAGTGCAGTCAGTCTATACAGCTTAATAAAAGACGAATATTTATAAATGAGATCCCAATGATAACTTAGCTTTTGAGCTGAAGCAAAGAGTGAGACATTGGGTCTCACTTCGAGCTCGCTGGTTAAGGTTGAGCTCTGGCCAATGATCGTGATTTAGAGCCATCCATGGAGGACCTTTCCACCAGAGCTCTAGTCGTTGGAGTTGATCCGTCGAAATGCCTCGGGAAGCACAGTCGGCTGGATTAGAAGTACCTGGAACATGTCTCCAATGCGCATATGGAGTGAGTTCTTGGATCTGAATGACTATGTTCCGAACATAATCCTTCCAACGTGATGCTTGCGATTTGATCCATATGAGAGAGACTTGAGAATCCGTCCACAAGTGCGTAGCGTTGATCTTCACCTTGAGCGTTGATTGAACATATTTGGCGAGCTTCGCCAGTAGGAGTGCTGCAGACAACTCCAATCTGGGGATGGTGAACCTCTTCAGTGGTGCAACTTTTGTCTTAGAACAGACAATTGACGTCGTTGAGCAGTTGGACGGCGAGCTAACAGTGATATAAATCACTGCTGCCATGGCAAGTTGAGAAGCATCAGAGAATCCATGAATATCGACAGTTGAATTACTCCATATGTTGAACCATCTTGGAATCGATAGCTTGGCCAAGCTGTTGAGATCTTCTCTGATGGTGAACCAGCGTGAAACAATTTGAGACGGTAATGGATCGTCCCAATTGATCTTGTGCAGCCAGAGCTCTTGTAATAGCATTTTTGCTCGTACTATTACCGGTGATACGAAACCTAATGGATCAAATATCCGAGCCACTTCGGACAATACGAGGCGTTTTGAACACTTACTTGGTTGATCAGTCAAGGTTGATGAAAAGCCGAATGCGTCAGTCTGAGGCATCCATTGAATTCCGAGTAATTTGGTAGTGCAGTCGTCAAATGATATGGGAGCTGACGATTGTGTGGATGACGAAACAGCCTTTAATAAATCTGGGTGAGTCGCATGCCATTTTGCGAGTGGAAATCCGCCCGCGTTGCACAATGCAATCAGCTGTTGAGCGACCTCCACAAGTTCCGAGGTTGAGTCTGCTCCTCCAAAGATATCGTCCACATATCTGCCATGTGTGAGCGAAGGCGTTGCCAGAGGGAATCGATGACCATCATCGTGAACTAGCTGCATGAGTGCTCATGTCGCCAAGAAGGGAGCTGCCTTTGTGCCATACGTGACAGTTGTGAGCTGGTAAGGAATGACATTCTGGTCTTCATCGATCCAAAGAATTCGCTGGAGATCCCAATCATCCTTGTGAACTGCTACCTGGCGATACATTTTTGTGATATCTGTGGCAAAAATGTGGTGATAATGGCGAAACCAAATTAGAACATCTGTAACATTTAAGAGCAAATTAGCACCAGTATGCATTAAATCGTTGACTGATTTGCCTGATGTCGTCGCTTTTGATCCATTAAATACAACCCTGAGCTTCGCTGTTGAACTGTCGAGACGTAGAACTCCATGGTGAGGCAAATAGTATGGTTGATGATGAGCAGAGAACTGAGGTGTCGAACCGTCAGAAGAGACCCTCAACCCTCCTGATGCCGAAGCATCATGTGCCAAGGTCATCTCCCCATCAGGTTCAACGTTCTCAGTCTCTCTTGGTGTGATCCGTTGATGATCTGGAGCCTTTACCATGTATCCTAATTCCTCGTACTCTTTCATGAACTCGACGTAGAGCTGGTTGTATGTTGAATCCTTGGAGAGTCGGCGCAAGCTGCTTTGAAGACATCTTTGAGCAATCTTGTGTGAATTGCCTAGAAGTGATGCTGGTGCCTTGAGTGGAATGCGAACGATGTACCTTCCTGTGCTGTCACGAGAGTGAGTTGCACAGAAATGTATTTCGCATTCTTCTTCCTCCGGTGTGAGCGTGCTTGGAACGTCCATCGGTGACTCCTCTTGAACCCAGAATTTTGTGAGCAGCTCTTGCAGATTGCTCTGGTCATCGTGAGCAACTGCAAAGTGTGAATAATTAGTCTTTGTAGAAGATTCATTGACTGGGCCAATGACGAGCCATCCGAAAATGGAAAGTTGAGCAACTGATGTTGTTGGTGAGCCCTTGATGATATTTGGCTTGATGATCCTTCCGTAGAAATCCGCTCCAATGATTACCTCGACTGGTCGTGGTGTCAAGAACTCATTGTCCGCCAACCTCAATTTTCTAATGTGAGACCAATCTGGAGTTCTCATTGAGAACGATGGCAGGATTGTCGATACGGCTGGGAGCACGTGAGCCTGCATTGAGATGGTCTGTTGTGAGTGTGTTGACTGCAGTGCGATATCCACCACACCGCGAGTTTCAGTTGATTTTGTTCCACCAACACCAATTATTGTGATGGATGATCGGCTTCTCCGCAGGTTGAGCAGGCTGGTGATTTCTTCGGAGATAAATGAGATTTCGGAACCTGGATCTATTAAGATGCGGATGTTGTGATTTGACGTTGGAGTGGTGAGAAGAGCTTGAGCGGTTGCGAGGAGCGTTCTGTGATCTGGTGGCTTGACGGCTGCACCGAGGTCCTATTCGGTTTGTGCGGATGAGGAGGCTTGTTTTGATGATCCGGCTGGAGCTAGAGCATTGGTCGGCAATGTCTTCGGCTTCGGCGGTGGAGGAAGCATATAAAATACCCCACCATCATGCAGCATCGCGTGATGCTGGAACCAGCACTGCTTGCAGGTTTGAGTCGACTTGCACGACCTGACGTTGTGCCTGCCTAGGCAATTGAAGCAGAGGCGCTGATCACCCACGCATTGAACGCGTTGGTTCGGTGTCATTGTCCTAAAGAGCTCGCATTGGACAATGTAGTGCTGCTGCCCACAGCAATCCCATCGTTCGAATGGTGATGGACGCTCCAGATATGATTTGTCTGATGGAGCAGTTCGAGGAGCGGGTTGGCGGGCTGGAGTTGCTGCCACTGCGGAGTGAACCGGTCGTCTCATTGGTGCGGGTTGAGCCACTTGCTTTGGTTGAGCTGGCTTCGGCTGCACCGACTTTGTTTGATCTTCGCTTAGCGACTCCAAAGTCCTCACTCGTGCGGTGATGAACTCACCAGGCTGTCGAACTTGGGATATTCAGTGGACGTCCCAAGAGAGGATTCCCCCCTCTCCTTGGTGGTCCTATCCATTTTCCGACAAACCTGGTGGACTAGCATGCAGTCACCGAGGCTGCCCGGCTCGGTGAGGTTTAGCACAGCGTTCCTAGTTTCTAAGGCCGTTGAAATGAGCTGGCTTAGGCTCTTGGCTTGTTCCGCACCCATGATCAGCGTGCCAGCTGGCAGAGACGCAAGCTGGTCCAGGTGAGCCTGAATGAGGCAACGCTTGTTTTCGTATCGGCTCTTGAGCTAGGCGATGGCTGCGCTGAGAGACGGTCCGGTGAGCGGCAGGTTAGATACGATTTTGAGCGGCTCTCCTCGCAGGCACCCCTTCAAATAATAAAATTTCTCCACGTCGTCGAGATCCTCCCTCTTCATGACCACGGAGCTGAACAGGTCGATGAAGGATGGCCAGTCTGTGTAACTACCGTTGAACCTTGGCAGCTCGATGTCGGGCAGCTTGGACTGCGTCGTTGATTTGGCCTGTTGGTCTGTCTGCTGAACCGGTCGTTGAGCAGTGAGCCTGGCCTTCTCCTTAGCTACCAGTGATTTCGCGTCGGAGTAGGCGTCTTGCATCTGGGTGTGGCAGTCCTCATCGAAGTAAGGGTGGTTGATCATTGAGGAGGGCCACACAACCTCAAAATGCGCGTGCTCCTTGCTGAAGGATTTCAGCGCCTCGTCGGCCTGCTGCTTTAAGTCGTCGAGCTCTTCTTTTGACAGCTGGCCTGCTTGCTCCTGGAGTTTGGCAAGCAGGCGCTTCATGGAACGGAGCCGTCCTTGCTCGGTTTTCACCTTGAGCTGCAGCTCGACAGACAGCGTGGAGGGCGCACTGGCGCGGGTCGCGTGAGCGTGCGGCGACGGTGTTCGGCGCGCTGGTTCCGTCGAAGCCTGCGCTGGTGATGAGCGACCAGAATTGCTCTTCTCCGGGACTTCTAGGGACTCCCGTGAGCTTTCCATTTCGCTCCACTTCTCCGTGGTTTTCGTGGGGTGAGCCATTGATGATTCGACTTGATCCGGGTGATCTGATTTTGTTCGACAGTTGAGTCGTTCTGCTGAGCGCCACCTGTGGTGGCGAGAGTGTTAGTAAAATTCAAATGGAGGAGAGAATCTAAGATGGCCGACCACCGAAAACCGTTACGGACACGAGACAAAGACTTGAGACGCACACTGAACACTGAGCAATTTTGCAAAACCGAATCAAGCAAGGGCGCAATCCGGCTCGAAGGACCAAATGTTCGGGATTGTTGGTCGATCCCGGAAGGACTGCGCCGGAAATAACTTTACACTTGCTGGATGGGTTTACAAGTTGATTTATTTGAGTCAGAAACAAGTAAAATAATCGTTGAACATTTGATCTAACAATTCGTTCGCTGAACACACAATAAAAATTAATTGCTGAGCGGTTACTGTGATCCGTGAATTTTAACAATTTGATTGATCTGTGGTTATGAACAATAAGCCCCGTTAATTTTATTAATTCGGCCCGCTCTTTGATGGTGCCCGTGAACATGTTCTGGGTCAACACGTGGTCGGCGTCACACGTGCTTTTCATTGTAGCGTAATTGAACAATACCTGTGAATCCTGTCACTTGCACAATTGTTGAGGATCCTGAGCTGCCTTGGGTGAACTGGTGATCTCTAATTTGGGTTGAATCGCACTTGAACACTTTGATCGTGAGCACAAGGGTGAGCACGTGGCTTGATCTAGACTCGATGATCGATAATGGCCGCGAAGCGCACTCGCCGTTGAGAAGACCCCTGCTCACGCGTTGACCTAGATGGGCGACTTCCGATTGATAAATCGATCGACCGAGGGCGTCATCATTGCTGAGCGGATTCTCAAACAGATATTGTTATTAAATGTACATTGATCTCTGAGAAGTAATCAGTATATTACATTATATCGAATGTAGACATAGCGCTAATGATGTTGTTATTAAATGTACATTGATCTGTGGGTCGCAATCAGTATATTATATTATATCTAATGTAGATATGGTAATACTGACATTCGTATTAAATGTAGGTACATTGATCTGTTGCAATGTATCTGTATATGACATTATATCTAATGTAGATACAGTAATAACGATATTGTTATTAAATGTACATTAATCTGTGGGAATGAATCTGTATATTACATTATATCGACTGTAGATAGAGTACTAATGATATTGTTATTAAATGTACATTGATCTGTGGGATGGAATCAGTATATTACATTATATCTAGTGTAGATATGGTAATAATGACATTGGTGCTGAATGTAGGTACATTGATCTGTTGGAATGTATCACTATATGACATTCTATATTACATTATATCGACTGTAGATAGAGTACTAATGATATTGTTATTAAATGTACATTGATCTGTGGGATGGAATCAGTATATTACATTATATCTAGTGTAGATATGGTAATAATGACATTGGTGCTGAATGTAGGTACATTGATCTGTTGGAATGTATCACTATATGACATTCTATCTAATGAAGATATAGTAATAATGATATTGTTATTAAATGTACATTGATCTGTGGGAAGGAATCAGTATATTACATTATATCGAATGTAGATATAGTAATAATGATATTGTTACTAAATGTACATTGATCTGGGGGGAGGAATCAGTATGTTACATAATGTCCAACGCAGATATAGTAATAATGGTATTGTTTGTAAATGTATATTGCATATCTAATATAGATATAGTAATAATGATATTGTTGTTAAATGTACATTGATCTGTGGGAATTTTTTGATCAGATGCGTAGTTTTCGAGATATATCGAGATATTTAAAAGTTCCGAAGCCGCACCAACATAATAAAGATACAGAAACATCGTTGCCCCTTTCTTTGAGATAACTCTGCACTATTCTAAGCAGCATTCACTATTCCGAGCTGTAAATGCCACTTCCAGCGCAGCTGTGCAGAAGAAGAACAACAAGAAGAAGAAATATCTCGGAATAAGTCCGTGAGATTAATTCCCACAGATCAATGTACATTTGATAACAATATCAATGGTACTATATCTACATTCGATATACTGTAAAATACTGATTCATTCCCACAGATCAATGTACATTTAATAACAATATCATAAGTACTACATCTACATTTGATATAATGCAATATACTGATCCATTCCAACAGATCAATGAACATTGAATATCAATATCATTATTACTACATCTACATTAGATAAAATGTAATATACTGATCCATTCCAACAGATCAATGAACATTGAATAACTACATCATTAGTACCATATCTACGTTACACATAATGTAATATACTGATTTATTCCCTCAGACCAATGTACATTTAATAACAATAACATTATTATATGGTAATAATGATATGGTTATTAATTGTACATGACACATGTAATGTAGATATAGTACTAATCGTATTGTTATTAAATGTACATTGCTCTGTGGGAATGAATCAGTATATTACATTATATCGAATGTAGGTAGAGTAATAATGACATTGTTATTAAACGTACATTGATCTGTGGGAAGGTATCAGTATAGTACATTATATCCAATGCAAATTTAGTAATAATGATATTGTTATTGAATGTACATTGATATGTGGGACGGAATCAGTATATTACATTATATCTAATGTAGATATGGTAATAATGATTTTGTTATTAAATGTATATTACATATCTAATGTAGATATAGTGCTAATGATACTGTTATTAAATGTACATTGATCTGTGGGAATGAGTCAGTATATTACATTATATCTAATGTATATATGGTAATAATGATTTTGTTATTAAATGTACATTGATCTGTGGGAATTAATGTGTATATAACAGTATAACTAATGTAGATATAGTAACAATGATATTGGTATTAAATGTAGGTACACTGATCTGTAGGAATGTATCAATATATGACCTTATATCTAATGCAGATATAGTAATAATGATATCGATATATTAAAAAGTTCCGAAGCCGCACCAACATAATAAAGATACAGAAACACCGTGGCCCCTTTCTTTGAGATAACTCTGCATTATTCGGAGCTGCAAATGCCACTTGCAGCTTAGCTGTGCAGAAGAAGAACAACAAGATGGAGAAATATCTCGGAATATGTCCGTGAGGACCCTTTCCTTGAGCTAAATCTGCAAATATCTCGGAAACGATGTGAGCTATGGCGAAATGTTAAGCGACCTTTTTTGTAGGAAATTAAGTTTCCTACTATTTATGCTCTATGATATTTTTTGATCAGATGCGTAGTTTTCGTGATGTTTCGAGATATTTAAGAGTTCCGAAGCCGCACCAACATAATAATAGAGTTATCTCAAAGAAAGGGGCCACGGTGTTTCTGTATCTTTATTATGTGTGTTGCGGCTTCGGAACTTTTAAATATCTCGATATATCTCGAGAACTACGCATCTGATCAAAAAATTTCAGAGAACATAAATAGTAGAAAACTGAATTTCCTACAAAAAGGGTCTCTTAACATTTTGCCATAGCACGCATCGTATCCGAGATATTCGCCTTTATAATGTGGGTACGGCTTCGGAACTTTTAAGTATCTCGATATATCTCGAAAACTACGCATCTGATCAAAAAATTCCCACAGATCAATGTACATTTAACAACAATATCATTATTACTATATCTACATTAGATATGTAATATAGATTTACAAACAATACCATTATTACTATATCAGCGTCGGACATTATGTAATATACTGATTCCTTCCCCCAGATGAATGTACATTTAATAACAATATCATTAGCACTATATCTACATTCGATATAATGTAATATACTGATTCATTCCCACAGATCAATGTACATTTAATGACAATATCATTATGACGATATGACGGATATGATGAAGCAGCTTGACAAGCAACACAGCTCCACACAATTCAAGGTTGGGGATACTCACAGTCTTCACAGGAGCAACCCTACTTTTCGCAGATAAAAGAGAAGTGCGGAAACGACCATCTCCCTCATTAATCCGAATGTAAACCGCCGCTGCGTAAGCACGAGATGAGGCGTCAGAAAATCCATGAATTTGCAACCCTGAATTACGTGGAAAGAGAACTACAATATTCACGCCACCTGTCCCGCACTTCTACTGGCAAAGCAGAATCCCACTCGCACTTCATAATCCAAAGATCCTGCA